CCTAAAGAACTAAAACTCCTTTAAAATAGATTTAGGATACAAAGATTCATCAATAAGGCTTCTAATTTATGTTATAGAGGCAATTGTGTATATATCTTGGCTTCATTTAGGCTTTTTTACACAGCAATTATTGGAAATTAAAATTTTAATTTAGTTTCTGATAGAATTTGTATTAAGAAATGCATTCTTAGCTAGAGGATTTATGAGGAGATTATAATTATGATATGCTTTAATCAATGTAGAATTCTAATTGGTCGGCAAATGATAATAAAATAATCTAAATGTTAACTACACAATTAGGGCTTACTTAAATTTAAAAGTCCATTATAGTAACGTAGTTACAGAAAATAAAAAGTGCAGAGAAAGTCATCGATTGCTTTATGAAATAGAATAAAGATTTTCAAGAATTATAAGAGATAATTTAGTAGGAGATTACTAATTAAATGAAAGTGTAAAATTAGAACAACAGATAAAAAGGATAATGGAATCAATATGAATTGATAAAGCTGAAAAATAAGTTATCAAAATCAATGAAAAGTATTGAGGAGTCTGATTGTCTCTTCTAATATATATAATAAAATTATGATTAAGAAATTTTAAATAAGATTTTATATTATGAATTTAAAACTGTTAAAGAATTTTTATAATAAATTCAAAGGGTTGGTGAAATTAGTAGACCTAATAGTTAAATATAATTTAATGAAAATCAATAAATCAAAAAAAAATAAGGATATAGTATTTGTTAAGAGAATAAGCAAATATAAGATTTATTTCTAGAATTTTATTCCTTAAATAATAGAAATAATAAACAAATAGAAAAATAATTGATATAATTATACAATTCTTTAGAGAATCAATAATAAAATTCTTAAATTTATGATTTTAAAATTTGTCCATAATTGGAATACGAGGAATTATTAAATTTATGTAATTTAGTAAAGCAACATTTTTCTTATTATCCAAGACCAGTTCAATTATTGTCTGTAATAGAACTATATAATCACGATGATAAATAGGGGAGGTTATCAGAGATTTACACTGGAGAAGGTAAAACCTTAATAGTTGCAATGTTAGCCATTCTATTATGTAAAAAGAGAAAATTAAATGTTGACATTGTAACCAGTTCTCCTGTTTTAGCAATTCGGGACGCTAAAGAGTTGGCAAGTTTCTATGAATCATTTTCAATTTCAGTTGCTCATAATATAAGTGAGCCGAATACTGAATAAAATGAAGGCATGCTTCCATGTTATAAGTCTCAAGTAATTTATGGAGATCCTCATAGTTTCTAAGCTGATATATTAAGGCATCAATATTAAGAATTAGGAACGATGGGCAACAGAAAATAAGGATATATAATAGTTGATGAAGTGGATTCTATGCTTATAGATGGAAATCGTAATAAGACTTTATTAAGCTCCCCTATCCCAGGAATGCTTGATCTAACAAAAGTGCTAAGATTGATTTGGGATGAAATTTGTAAGGTAGAGCCTAATTTATCAACTGATAATAAAGTTATGATTGTTGATGGAGATAATAATTATTATAGTATGGATTTGGTAGAATATGTTGAACAAACCTTAGAGAAACAGATAAAGGATGCTTTGGAAAATTAAATACCTAATTTTAGATTAGATTATATCAAATTCATGAAGAAAAGATGGATAGAAAGCGCAATTTAGGCAAAGTTCCTTTTTCATGAAAAATAGCATTATCTAATTGATAACAATAAAGTTAGAATAATTGATTATTTAAATACAGGAGTAGTACAAAAGGAAAACACATAATGGTAAAACGGATTGCACCAATTTATTTAATTTAAGCACAATCTTTCTATTTCGTCCTTAAGAATTAGCACAAACTTTATGTCTAATATTAGCTTCTTTAAAAGTTATAAAAATTAACTCTTAGGTCTAACAGGTACATTAGGATCATCAGTAACATAGAATTTATTAGCCAAAAAATACAATATTGACTTTGTTTTCATACCACCTTATAAAAAAAGAATATTAAGGGAAGAACCTGGAATAGCAGTTTTTGGAGAGAATGAATGGTTTGAGGAGATATATAAGGCAGTAAGCTATCAGATTGAAAAGAAGAGAGCTGTGCTGATTATTAATAAAACCATTAATGATGTTGAAAAAATTTAAGCATATTTAACTAACTTCAATTTCAAATCAACCACATATGTAGATAACAGTTAGGAAATTTAAAAAGAAATTGGACCTAATACAATTATTATAGCTACA